CGGATCTCTCATAAATGTGAGACACTTTTGAGTCAGGGTGATATAGAGAAAGAGGGGTAAGTTAAATAGTTTGAGATAGAGATGGTTTTCAGTCTTTGCCATTGAAATAGTATGCGATCCTAGGAGAGTTATTTCCACCATTTAGACCTCAGAAAATGTGGCATAATGAAGAGAGTATGACATTTACAATCAAAATAACAATGTAAGCCCCACCACTACCACTCACCAGCTTTATCTTAACAAGATCTTACTTTGGTTACCTTGTCTCAGCTTTGTTTTCCTCTTTTTGTCTGTTTATTTTGAAAAATTAGGCCAGGAAAGTTTTCTGCTCTATTTATTAAGTTTTTGACCTTAACCTATATACATACAGTATATGTACCAAGTTGTAAACCGCACTGAACTCCTTACTTTGCCAGCAGCTGCCTGTTAGATGCTCACAATAGCAAACACTAGGGAGAGGCAATGAGCCCAGAAGAAGGGGAAAACCAACTGGCAAGCAGTTTCTTGAGTCCTGCCTGCAGCGCTTCTTCAGGGGACAGCTGCCATTCCTTCTGTAGGAGCCATCAGGTCCTGGGTGCTGGTTCCCCAACACTTGCAGAACCAGTTGCTTGCCACCTTTCTCTGCTCCAGACACCATCACCCTTCCGACTTCCCAGCTCTGAGGCCTGCATCACTGCCCCACAGACTCCCTCTCCCCAGCTCCTGGCAGCCAGCATGGAGCAGCTAGGCCTACCCTCTTTAGCCATCTGCATTACAGTTCCAGGGAACCTTCTTGAAGGAACTGGGATAATTGCAACCTCTTCTCTTGTTCCCTCAGCTTTGGGGTCTTTCAAAGTTTCCTTTGGGAAACAGAGTTCTCAAGGCACACTTTTCAGGAGTTCAAAGTTTACACCTAGTTAAGTATTTACATTGCATTGTCCCTTCTTTTTTTGTACCCTGACCCTGATCCGGACTGATACACCACATCATATCCAAGTCATAGGGTTGTTGTGAGTATAAGATGAGATCATGCCTGGGAAACACTGTGTACAGCTCAGCAGTGTCTCAAAAATGAAGCGACTGGACTGAGTCTGCCATGCAGCATGGGCTTCATGGTGCCCTCCAGATGACATAGAATCGAATAGCAAGTCTAAGACTAAAAATTATTTAAGTCACCCAATAATAATTCCACTCATTCATTCATCTTTGTGAATCAGAGGCAACACACACACACACACACACACACACACACACACACACACACACTGACTGTTACTGTGAGTGGGAAAAGGGGATGGCACAGCCATACCCACTGGATGAAACTGTACCCAAAAGAGGAAGCTGTGTGAGGTAGGAGTAGAGGCACCTTGTTTAACCAAAGGCGTTAATGGTGTAAGGGTTTTTGAAAAGGTGAAAATAGATGTGTAGCTAAGTTCCTGGCTGGAGCTACAGGGAGCTGAGCTGTGGAATGAATTATGTTGGAGGTGCTGGGCTGGGAGGAAGGAGGAGGAATTGGCCTATGAAATGCAATGGGAAGATGGAGAGAGACAGAGATGGTGGCATTGGAATGAGTGGGAGCATTTTGCTGCAAAACTAAGGCAATCTCATATTCTAGAGTAAGTTAAGTTATTCTGCATGATTGGGGTCCCCAAGACAATAGAAATTGTGGGGATCTTGATGCTTCTGGTTTCCTACAGGCAAGTGACAATTTGCAACACAGTTGAGTCACTGGATAGTCTGTTATAATAACTGAGGTGTGTAAGCAGGATAAAATAACTTCCTTATGATGGAGGACAACTGGAAAGTAAATGCATGGCTGGTCTTCAGGGATATAGTGTGAAAGTTCCTGTTTATTTGTGCAGGTGTGGCCTAGCCCACAGTTGCCTGGACATACATGATGGCTCTGTGGCCTTCTCTCCAAAGAAGCCTACGGGAGAGGGTGTTCCAGTGCCTGTTATTTGTGTTATCCCTGCTGGAACCTCAGGCAGAAGGACTGAGGTTGGCTGCGCTAGAAGAGACAGAGATCTCACTCCATAAGGACCATAAACTAAAATACTCTTTCCCCCCTACTCCACCCAGCTAGGCATAGCAGCAGGGTGGGAGAACTTAGGCTGCATTATCTTCCCTTGGGGCAGGAGCCTCCTTTTCTCCCGACTCCTGGGAGTGAGCCTGTGAGATGAAGGCGGGAAGCTTTTATTTCCCGTTCATGTCTTACCTGTCTTCTCTCCCTCAATTTGAGAAAAAGCAATTGCATTTGGTTTGCATCTCCAATGGCTATCCAGGTCCTGATCAGTAATGATAGTTACAAAATTTATTGTAAAGATAAAATAAATAACATAGGATACAAAATATCAAAATTCACTCCCCTTTCCTTTTTTTCTTCTGCATGCTCCTAGGCAGATATAGAAAAAGTTTTTTTGTTTTTTTTTGTTTTTTTTTGTTTTTTTAAGTGAGACTTTGTATTTTATTTTATAAAATATATTTTATTGATTTTTTACAGTGAAGAGGAGAGAAGGATAGAGAGCTAGAAATGTCAATGAGAGAGAAACATCGACCAGCTGCCTCCTGCACACCCCCTACTGAGGATGTGCCTGTAATCAAAGTACATGCCCTTGACCGGAATCGAACCTGGGACCTTTCAGTCAGCAGACCGATGCTCTACCACTGAGCCAAACTGGTTTCGGCTAAGTGGGACTTTTTAACGTAAACAAAAGACACAGTGGAGAACAATAAGGAGTTTCCTTAAAAAACTAAAAATGGAACTCCCATTTGACCCAGTGATCCCACTTCTAGGAATATATCCCAAGAAACTAGAAACACCCGTTAGAAAGGATATATACCCCCCTACCTTTATGGAAGCACAATTCACTATAACTAAGATTTGGAAACAGCCCAAATGCTCATGAGCAGATGATTGGATTAAAAAACAGTGGTACATCTATACAATGGAATACTATGCTGCAGTAAAAAGCAAGGAACTCCTGTATTTTGCAACAGCATGGATAGAGCTGGAGAGCATTATGCTAAGTGAAATAAATCAGTCAGAGAAAGATAAATATCACATGATCTCACTCATTTATGGAATGTAATGAACAACATAAACTAATGAACAAAAACAGATTCAGAGATAGAGAAATATCAATCAGAATGTCAAACCTCAGTGAAGGTAGGAGAGGGTGGGGATAAGGGGGAGAGATCAACCAAAGGACTTGTATGCATGCATATAAGCCTAACCAATGGACACAGACAACAGGGGGTAGAGGTATGAATCGTGGTGGAGGGTAATAGGGGAATAAGGACACATATGTAATACCTTAAACAATAAAAAAAGTAAAAAATATAAAGAAAACATACATGCAAATGCCAAATGTATTGCTTAACATATAGATATTCTTGTGTTTGTATGTGGACTCATTACCTTGAGAACCCTACATCTATTATTATTAAAGCATTTGCTAATTTTAAAAAGTAAACAAAACAGCCCTTGTGATATGGCAATATTTTCCTTCAGTTCCTGCAAGGGGGGATGGTTGTTGCTGGAGAAGGTGGAAAAACTATCTCAAGCTGAAAAAACCCATATTTTTAAACAAAATACATCTTGCATTTTTCTGAAGGAACCTGGAAACAAGGGGAAGGGACCGTATACACAGAGAATGGGCTGAGGTCATCCCTTGGAGAGGAACCTAGGAAGTAGCTGTTTTACCAGAATCAAGAACACCTGCCATGGAGAACAGTGAGAACATTTCCCCTTTCCCTCACAGAGGGAGGATAAAAGTGACACCATGGGGCCATCATTGTGAATGGTCACCAAATACAACACAGCAGGTGCCTGAAGATGCCTCCACTGGCTCTGAATACACTTAGGCTGTGAGATGGCCAGGCATTGGGTTTGTCATCTTCAAACCACACCCTTATGGACCATGCCAATTACTAGGCAGGGACTTCAAATCTAGTTGCCTTTTTTACTTTGAATTGGAACAGCCATTCAACAGTAGTAACCAACTGGGTTTTGACCAGGGTCAGTTTGCAGAGTGCTCTATACTCAGAGGTGCTGAGTGGAGGTCAAACCCTCTGCACCCTCTCCAGCTCATTCCCTTCCCAGCATGTGTTCCAATATGGCTTTTATAAGCACTGATAATTTTCATCATTGATTCCCCCATTCTCCTGTTATCTGCCTATAGTAATCAACCTTTAGTTCAATACAGTGGTCAACTTGGTTGTAGATGCAGACACTCTGAGAAGCTACAGTAGAAGAACAAAAAGAGAAAGAAACTATTTGGATGAGACAAAGCAGTAAGGACAGGGGGTCCTATTAAGGCAGATTTGAGTTTTGTAGGGGTACCTTCCTTAAGAAAACAGTTCAAAACTGCAATTATAAAAATAAATACAAAATTGGTAATTATAATGAGAGAATACATACAAAATTACGAACGTAAAAGCTCATATACCAAATAATTACAAACCCAAAAAGTAATAAACCATATTTTATTGGTTAAATATTTTCCCTACATTTTGGCTGCATTATTTTTGCCTCTGAAAACAAGTTTTATAGTATCATTTTCCATAGAGAATATAGTTAATTCAATCTTTCCCTACCATGATTGACCAGCATCTGTTCTTATTGATAGCTTAGGTGCAGAATACTTGGGCACTGAACGTGCACACCGTTTTTAATACTGCTGCAAACTTGTTCCCTACAAATACAGGAATACTAAAAAATTTTACTTTCTCTGATTTCCATAAAAATTATGCTGCTTTTATAATTACATATTTTTTCTATGAAAGTATAAATTTTAAAGGAGAGAACTTCTATGTTGATGAGAAACCAAAATAAATAAATACTTAAACTTTTAGATGCATATTCATCAGAAGAATTTTTCATAGAGTAATTTTTAGTCTGTATGTTCAAATTGTGTTTATCCTCCATTAACCTTATATTCCCAGTGCTGAGGGATAAAAGCACTTTAAAAAAAAAAAAATTATTATTCCTTGTCCGGACCTGGTGGAGCAGAGGCGCCATCATGGGAGTGGACAACCGCCACAACGAAGACCGGAAGGGTCGGCGCAAGGAGCCCAAGAGCCAGGACATGTACCTGAGGCCGTTGGTCAAGCGGTACAGGTTTCGGCCAGAAGAACAGCTCCGCTGTCCACCAAGCGGTGCTCAAGGGGCTGCTCATGAGGCGCACCAACCGGCCGCCGCTGCCCTTTCCCGGATGACCCGCAGGATGAAGCGTCCTGGCCGGAGGGCAAACCGCCGCGGCTGGAGGGACGATCGCTGATGACGTGGAACCAGGAGGTGCCCAAACCGAGGGCCTGTGCCCTTCGCGGGAGCAGCCGTGCCCGGAGCCGCATCCTCAAGGCCGGGGGCAAGGCGCTCACCTTCCACCAGCTGGCCCTGGACCCCCCAAGGCCTGTGGCACTGTCCTGCTCTCTGGTCCTCGCAAGGGCCGCCAGGTGCCCAGGCATTTCGGCAAGGCCCCAGGAGCCCCCACCGCCACACCGAACCCTACGTGCGACCCAACAGCTGGAAGTTCAAGCGTGCAAGAGGCCGCCGGGCCAGCCGCTGCTACAAAAACTAGCTCTGAATCATGTGATTAAAGAGGTTTTGGACGCTAAAATAAATAAATAAATAAATAAATAAATAAATAAATAAATAAATTAATTAATTAATTAATTAATTAATAAACAAACAAACAAACAAACAAATAAAATAAAAATTTTCAAAAATAAATTATTATTCCTTCATAGGATCTCTGGTTCTGATGCATTATCTCACAAACCAGTGGGCCCTCAGAGAATTCCTGGAAGTCATTTCTATGCAAGGGCAGCCACCAGTGATGGAGTTATACATGGGAGGAACTGCAAACTACAGGTCTGTCCCTTTCATACAAATGGAATGTTTATGCAACTCAACTTGTTTTAGTTTAGGGTGTTTAGGAAAATGTCCTCAATCACTGCAGAGATATGAAGGGAATAGACAGAAGTTTAAGTAAAAAGAGAATGGAATCTAGATAAAAGATTTTACTTTTATAAATTTTTCAAAAATATAATTTGGTTTAAACACATTAGTAGACCCCTCTTAGCATAAATCATTCTCTTGGGCACTTAGAATAATAATTATTTTTAATGTCAAATTTTTATTGAATACAACTTTCCTTCTTCCCATATCATAAATGTATATTTTAATGAATTTCTATGTGTACAGACTCATATTACTATCATTCAGATATAAAACAGGACATAATCACTTCCCAATTACACCTCTTGTGCCTTCTCCATCACTCTCCCTGACAGAGTTAACCGCTAGGCTGACTGCTAAAGTCATCATCTAGGTTTACCTGCTCTTGAATTTTATATAAATAGATTCATAAAATATGTACTTCTATGTCTGATTTCTTTAGTGCAATATACTTGTGAGATTCACTTACATTGTTGCATACTGTAGTCCCTTCATTTTCATTGCTGTATAACATTCCACAATTTATAGACTGGTTGTATGTTTAAGAGCATTTTGGCAGTTTCCAGTACAGTCTATTACAAATAATGCTGCTATGGATATTATGTTAAATGTCTTGAGCTGTAGAATGAAATTCAGATGATTATACATCTAGAGTGATAACTGCTGGATCCTAGAGTATTGTTGTTCAGCTTTAGACCATACTGCCACACACTTTCCCTAAATATACTAATTTCCATGTATATTGGTTGAAATTTGGCAATGTCTCTCTTTTTTTCATCTTAGACACTATGGAGAATTTATTTATAGTAATACCAGAATGTTATCATTAGTATTTCCATAATGACCAATCCAGCACACCATCTTTTCATATGATTATCAGATATCCTCTTTTGTAAAATATCTACTAAATATTTTGGTTATTTTTCTAGTTGTCTTTTTCTTACATATTTACTGTAATGTTTTATATGTTAGGGTTGTTTTTAGATTGGTTTTATTTTTTTTTGAGAAGCACTTAAATGAAGTAAGAAATAAAAAAAAATTTAAGTGCATTTGTAGACAGCAGTGAAAAGTTATGACTTAGCCGGCACCGGGGTGGCTCAGTGGATAGAGTGTTGGCCTGCGGACTGAAAGGTCCCGGGTTAGATTCCTGTCAAGGGCATGTACCTTGATTTCAGGCACATCCCCAGTAGGGGGTGTGCAAGAGGCAGCTGGTCGATGATTCTCTCTCATCACGTTTCTAACTCTCTATCTCTCTCTCTTCCTCTCTGTGAAAAATCTATAAAATATATATATATTTTTTTAAATGTTAAGACTTAGATGGAAAGCAAGTGAATGGGATTAATACCATAGCATAGGAGAGATTTGCATTGCCATATCATTTAAGAATTATTTTTTTCATTCTTGTTTATAATAATTAAAAATGTATAGGTCAGCCTAGTTGGCATGGCTCAAGGGTTGAGTATAGATCTATGACCTCAGGAGATGAGAGTTCAATTCCTGGTCAGGACACCCAGTTACAGGCTTGAACCCCTGGAGGCAGCCAATCAATGATTCTTGCTCATCATAGATGTTTCTATCTCTCTTTCTCCCTCTCCCTTCTTCTCCGAAATCAATAAAAATACACTAAAAGAAAAAAAAAATGTGTAGGTCATAAAGGTTATATATAATACTATGTAAGGACCTAACTCCAGTTAGAATATTGAGGGTTGTCTGTTTTCATTTGCTAAGTTCTCAAATGCCTTGAAAGAAACTTTTGAGGAATACACTTGTTTTTTTTTAAGACAAGAAGGATTTGAACTTGTTTTTAAATTATAGTCTTTTCACTCTTTCCACACTACTTCATGGGTTAACTTTATTTGGTCAGATCTGAAAGAAATTTTCAATGTGATATTTGCCATGTCTATTAGGTTTACAAATTGAGTACAATTTGAAAACTAAATCACATTCCGGATTTCATATGCTTTTCTCTTCACGCCCTCTATGGGGGCTCTAGTAGCTGTGTGGAGTGTTAGAGCCTTTCCTGGCACAGTGTTAACAAAATGAGTGCTGCCAGAGTGCTACTATTCCTCAAGTTTCCCATTTTCTTATGAGTCTTCTTCCTTCTAATACACACTCGACATTGCTCAAATATATTCACTGCAGCAATTAAGTCACTAGACATAATCCAAAGTGAAAGAAGATATATTCAATTTATTTCTTCTCTCAGGGTAGAATAATTCCAACAAGCTCTCCTCAAAAGAAAAGCATGGACACAGTGTAGGAGAAGATATGTTTGCTTACAGCACCAGTCTCCTACAAATTATGAAAGGAAAAAACAAAAACCATAAATGATGAATCATCCACAATATTGTTATTTTTGTTTTTACAAAATTTAAAATTCAGGCACATTTGTCATATCCAGAGATCTCAAAGATAATTTCCAGCTGGAGATAATGAAACCCATGCTGAGAAAATTAATCAGAGTAAATCCAAGTTCCTGGGAATCATTCCTTTCATTTATGCTGAAAGTTGCATTGCTGATTTTACACAAAGCAGGAGTTTTTAAAAATAAGAACAAAAATTACAGAAGACGTAAAGATATTATAATTGTTAATATGTACCTCATGTCTGAGCACTGGGGGTGAAACCTCATAGAACTGAAATTTGTTAACATTTAGATTCTGTATTTTGAAGCTCGTCTGTTAAAGGTCAAAAGCAAAATGCTTTTGCCCTAGTTGGTTTGGCTAGGTGGATAGAATGGCGGCCTGCAGCCTGTGGACTGAAGGGTTTTAGGTTCCATTCCAGTCAAGGGCACATGCCTGGATAGCAGACTTGATCCAGTGGGGGGTTTGCAGGAGGCAGCTAATCAATGATTCTCTATCATCATTGATATTTCTATCTCTCTCTCTCCCTCTTCCTTACTCTCTGAAATCAGTAAAAATATATTAAGAAATAAAATTTAAATATTTTTTTTAAAAAGAGGCTTTTTTTAACTATACAGTTTGGATTGTCTTAGGCTTTGAAAATGTGCTTTAAATAGAGAATGAATCATTATGAATGAGCATATTGGATTTGCAAGTATTTGACTGTTTTGGTATTGCTTGCCTGAATGTTTTCCAACTCTCCGTACATAGATACTTCCCACACACATTGGAATGTCTTACTTTAATAGGCAAAGTAACTTATTTTTATATATTTTGAATACTGATATATGTTGACTAATATCTGCAAACTTTAAATGATTTCTATTTAATATTCATTATATTTTCTTTTTTTTCATTTGATCATATTTTAAGAAACTAAGTATATTTTATTCTTTATTTTCCTTCCCTTACAGCTTTTGTATTTATAAAGACAGACTGTTATAAATTCTGCTTTATGTTTTTACCATATATTCATTAGTTAGCAAAGTCCTAAGCCACTTTATATTATATATCAAAATTCCTCCTGAATAGTGAAAAATGCTTTGAGCACTTTAAATCTCAAATTGCCACTATCTTTAATATTATTGTTTTCTATTATTTTGGGGTTTGGGGTTTTTTTTAAATTTAATTTTATTTATTTGTTTATTTATCTTTCCCACAAGTTTTTTTAAATTTAATTTTTCATCACCATTTATCCCCTCTATGTCCTCTTCCACACCTACCCCTGCAATTATCACACTGCTGTCCATGTCCATGTGTTCTCTCCCTTTTTTTCCTTTTTTGCTCAGTTCGTCCTTCCCCTGCCCCAACTCCTCTCTATTTTTTCAGTTTTATTTTTAAACTAGAAGCCTAGTACATGAAATTCATGCACTGGTGGGTGGGGTTCCTCAGCCTGGATTGCAAGAGGGCATAGGCCAGGCTGAGGGACCCCACTGGTGTATGATCAGAGCTGGGATGAACATATGAGGTTGGCAGTTGAAGAGGGACCATGGGAGGACTCCAGAGCATGTCCAACCCATCTCGCTCAGTCTTTTTTTTCTTTTATAATATATTTTATTGATTCTTTACAGAAGGAAAAGAGAGGGATAGAGATCTAAAAACATCAATGAGAGAGAAACATCCATCAGTTGCTTCCTGCACACCCCCCACTGGGGATGTGCCCACAACCAAGGTATATGCTCTTAACCAGAATGGAACCTGGGACCCTTCAGTCCACAGGCCGATGCTCTATCCACTGAGCCAAACCGTTTTTTGGCCATTTTGCTCATTCTTAATTGGCCAGATCCCAGCAGCAAGCTAACCTACCAGTTGAAGCATCTGCCCCCTCGTGGTCAGTCCATATCATAGCGAGCAGTTGAGCAGCCTAACATATCATTAGCATATTACAATTTGATTGGTTGAACAGACTACCAGTCAC